ACCTGCTCCCAATCAGTTGATTACACCAGGCATCCCCAACCTCGGTCCTCGAGGCCCGCTGTCCTGCTGGTTTTAGAGGTTTCCCTGCTTTAGCACAGCTGATTATAATAATGGCAGTAGACCAAAAATCTGTTAATCAGCTTTCAATTAAAATCAGCTGTGCTGGAGCAAGGAAACCTCTAAAACCTGCAGGACAGCGGGCCTCGAGCACCAAGGTTAGGGATGCCAGGATTACACTATTAATTGTTGTGTTTGGCATATGTCCTCCTCCTCTGTAGTTAATGTTTGCTGTATTATCCTCATCCCCTCACCCCTTCATTCCATAGGTTTATTCCTCCATAATGTCTCCTAGTTTTTGGTCCCTGAGTTTCTTGTCAATCAGTTCTGGATTATGGCCTCTGTATTGTTACTTCATTTAATTTTGCAGGAAATCATCTCTGCATTTGGCTCCTCAAGAAGTCTTCACTAATCCTGACATTGTTGTTCATATACAGTCTTAAACAGTGCAGTTAAAAAAAATGCCATTAACAAATAACAGGATTGGCTGTTCCCAAGTGTTTTGTTTAGTTTAGTATTTACTCACAATTTGCCCTTTGCTGCGTCCTGCTCTAACTCGTATAGAAGAGTTGATCTTCTTTGACATTGAGCAACAACACTCTTGGTATTTCTCTAAAGGCCGCATCTTTAGCCTACGTTAAATGAACATTTAAGATAAAAAATCTAACACAACACCATGGCTATTTATGAAAACTTTTTTTTTTTTTTGTCTCCATTAATACTCATAATGCCTATAGAAAGATGGTTGATTCAGACAGTCACAGCACAGATTTCATCAATGTGCATGTAAATATCAGGTAAACTGCTTAATGTAAATGATGGAAAAGGTGTTCGGGGTTTTTAGATGTAGCAAGGGGATGCTCAGGGGCAGAAAAATGAAGACAAATAAATATTTACAAACCTTGCTTATAATTAAGGCCAAACAAGTACAAAATGATTAAATGTGCATACATAAAAGATAATTTTGACCTTGTTATTGTTTAAATGAGGTGAAATAGATCCTGTATACATGAACTTCCTGATTAGAAAACAAAGAAATGTACTGAGCATTTAGGCACACTGCAAAAAAAATGAAATCTAAATGTAATTTTTCTCAAAATAAGTGATTGTTTTAATGGAGGACATTATTCAGACTTTGCCAATGGAACAAGACAATTTACATTTAAGATGAGAAAAAACAATTGCATTGTCTTATTTCAAGTCCATATTATCTAATTATCTTATTTTGAGAGTAAAAAAAGAATTCTATTGAAAAATAACCCTATTTGCTTACTTGAATTAAGGATAAATACACTAAATGTAGGAATTTTTAAAACTTTTTTTGCAGTGTATCAATACTACTGGTACTGGTATGACATAATACATAATAGTTATATACATACATGTATGTATATATATATATATATATATATATATATATATATATATATATATATATTATATATGCATCATATATACATATATATTATGTTTATAATAGTTACATACATGTAGGTAACTATTAGGCACTATTAGGCAGAGACCAGCCTACTGTAATAGTCTCTCAGTTTCCCTTTTGTTGCAAATATCTGTGACCTATCAAGGACTGGATCCAGCAAGATCAACAAAATTGTGAAATCCGAAGACGAAGTCAGCACCTTAAATTACCTGGATATCTTAAACCCTTTGAAGCAGTTTTCTTTTTTGACTAGACTAATTAAACTACAAAAAGAGGCCATATCTTTCAGGTAACTGTGTCTATCATAAGGATTTAATGTCCATTAACAGTGTTTCAGAAGATGTTTCCCATCAAAGTTACATTACTGTTGTCTACGGGACACACACTTTCTGAGTAGAACCTGCTTAATTCCATCACGCTGCCTCTGCCGGCTTTCCTTCTTCACATCATGTGTCCTAAAGCCATTGTTTTTCTAGGTATTCACATTCAACTATTACCCCTCTGTGATGTAAAAAAAAAGTTTACATGCTTAATCATACCAGCCCCGCAACCATAGGGGTTCAAACTGAAATGGGCGTTGTTGCTGTTTTCAGCTGGTTTGTAGGAACACCTGTGGGGAACCCTAACTGGTTTAGACCTATGCAGCCTAATACACAACTAACAGAAATGCGGCTTCAACACACTTCTATTAGAACCATTATTTATGTCTTTTCAGATATGGTAGCTTTTTCATTGTATCCGAACATGCATCAGTCTTTATCCTCACCATTACCAGGCTAACAGCTTTTCTTTTTTGGACTTATTTTAAAAGAAACTAACCTGTCCAGACTAGGAAAAATATTCAATATTCAATATCATTCAATGATCAACTGTTAGTAGCATCTTAAAGAAATACCTGCCCTTGGAGTCCATTGGTGTGATGACAAAGGTCTGTCTGTTTTGCAACTTATTGGATTGCCAGGAATATTTGTCCGACTTCCCTATGATGAGGATAAAGTCCAGTGCAGACTGTGCTCTGGTTTTGTTTTCAGGAATTTTAGGAGAAGACATTTTGGTTATTTTATGTACTTTACTAAGACTTAATAGGAATAGCCTCTCTAACAACCTTTTTCTGTTCCAAATTGACTGTGCACCCAGTGCACAAAGTATGCTCCATAAAGACATGAATGAGCAGATTCAGTGTTGAAGAAATGGACTTTACTACATAGGAAAGAAACCTTATTTTGAGAAAAAAAAAAAAAAACATTCAGGATGAACGAAAGATTGGCAAACATCAGTGTCTGACCTCCAGTAACAGATCAGAATGGACATATTAAACCCTGCTGACCAGGCAGTGAAGTCAAAGATGTGTGTAAAAGGTGAGTGAATGCCTTTTCTATTAAAGTCTATATAACTATCCACCATGGAGGCGGGGGGTTGGCCATGTTTTTAAACAAAATGGAGAAAAAAAGAGACAAACAATGAGATTTCCACAGGTTGTCAGCAAATTCTCTTACCATGTTTTCCCCTAATTTTAATGTGGGTTGATTAAAACTCAGCTCTGCTCCGTTCCCCTCACAGCTGGAGCATTACTACCCGACTGGCCAACTCAAAGATGGATGTTAAGAGGATGAAGTCCTATTTGAACAAGGAGCCACACAGAGCCACTGTGCAACTAGGTAAAAGGAAGACCAGGTAGGTAATCTTGACATCTTACAGTAGCTGCTGACAAAATTACCTCTTGACTTGTGTGGCTTTCTAGATAAGCATTCCTTCCAATAAAGAAGTAGTGTTTCTTGGCAAAAGCAACTTAATCTTACATGATTCAGACAAAGAAGATTACTTAAAGGTAATGGCATTCAAACCTTGCTCGCCATAAATTTTACTTCTAGCTTAATGTACCAGTCAACCTAATTAGCACTGTCTTTATCTTTAAATGAAACAGTTTTGGTCCCCGCCTGCATTTACTGGCCTTATAAACATTGCAGTGGCAGCATTACAGATTTAGCCTCCCCCATTACACTTTACAACAGCTCAGTCAAAAATCACTGCATGTAATTTGTGTCCATGCTTGTTAACACTATAATGTGCTGCGGGTAGTAAATGGCGCAGGGTACAATTATTAAAAAGATGCCGTGCAGCCAGGCAGAGCAGCAGCACTACAGCTTGTACGGTGGATTGAGAGCAGCTTTAGAGGCAGCGGAGGAGCGCCTGAGTGGCTTAGCGGGGTTGTGTGTATGTAGGCCGTGTTCTGCATGTTATTTCCTTGAAGTCATCAGACCTACGCCCCCCCCATCATGGAAAGGCTCTTATGATAAGTGGCAGCCATGAAATATGCACAGCCTGCCCTAGCTGCCTGACTCGTTTCAGAGCTTTGCTTTACCTTCCCATCTCTTTCCTCCATCTTTTCCTCTTAAACTCTCCCTTTCTGACACCTTTTTCCCTCATTTCTAATCATTCTTTAGTGACTTCTCTGGCTGGTCAACAGCCACCCTTTCATTCACCTTCTATAACCCCAATCTCTACCTTCTGGGCTCTTTTTCTTCAAGTCTATTCCTTCTTCATTCCCCTTTACAATCACATCAGCTTGTATCCCAGGGGCAACAACAGCATTTGGGAGTTTGACTGTGTAATGAATTAAAGCTAAATCAGAGAAGGATGCAGCAGAATAGAGAAGCCAAAGCTCACCCAACAGACGGTGGACAATAAAAGGCACAAAATAACCATGAAAAGGAAAACTTTTGAATTGTTTATTTAAGGAATGTCTGCTATTCCAGGAATACCCCAAGAATAATAAAAAAAAGAGAAAAAAGGGATTTGGCACATGGAAAGCACTGTAAAAAGCTTTTTCTTTTCATAACATGAATGTTCACACACAAAACACAAAATTGTTTAGATTGGAGTACTGTTGTTACAGAAAACATATCGTAATAATATTTGAAAAGTGAGTAGGTCCTAAATGCTAAAAGTTTTATTTTTCATGCAATGATCATCTCCTCTTTTTATCAACAGAATGGGAGAGTAGAAAATAACACTAATCTTTGAATAAGAACTCCTCATTTACAATACGTGACCACATGTATCGTTATATGTATATAAAGATACTGACACAGTAATATATTGGTGCATAACGTATCCTAATGTTGTTTAATGTTGAAAAATCAAGCAGTAAATAATAATAATAATAAAAAGATGTGACCCTGTAGCCAAAGCGAATGTAATGAACACAGATTAAGACTAACATTAAAAATACAATAAATTATGACTTTTGAAACCTTTGAAAAGAGTTAAAAACTTATTTTTTTCCCACTGTTCTTAATATTTGGGGCTTTTAAATGCTTGTGTTGTAAATTATAAAAAGAAAATGTTTAACTGACCGTACAGACCAGAGTTAATTATCTTTGTAAGACCATAAAACAATAAAACAAGAGCGCTATGTTGTGACAATGCATAAGAGAAACATGTGTTCCCTGGTTGTTTTTTGTCTGTACTGTTTTATGTATTTTTTTTTTATTTTTTTTTGTAAAGCACTTTGGTCAGCTGTGGTTGTTTTTAAGTGCTTAAGAAATAAAATTGGATTGGATAAAAACTGAATCTGATCTAAAGAACAGAAAATGAAAGTCGGACATAATATGAACGTGAAAAACTAAACTTCTTAGGGTATTAAACAGCCTAAGATGACAGAGGATTGAGTTTTATTTGTCTCAATAGTTGAAACTAGGATTTGGGAATTTTATTTGTAGGAAACTAAGGTTTCACCAGAGTAACATGTTCAATGATAGAAATGTTACATGTATCAAATGGATCTCTGATTTTATATAACCTAAAACATCTGGGATTTTAAATAAACTGTTTCACACATGTGGTGGGTGACTAAAAACGGACCTCACATGTTAGTAGTATAAAATGGCAGTAAGACTCTTAGGTTTTCAGCTGTTTTCTGTAGTGCAATGTGTTTTGGACTATGCAGGATCCTAAACCATGTAAAATCCTGGGATCTAAGTCATGTTTTTTTTTTACTTTTAAAACCTACCTCTCTGAATAGAAAAGAGAAGTAACGGGAAAAAAAAGCATGAAAACTAATTCTTGATCAGATGCAAAGGGAACTGTGAAAAAGTTTCCTTTTACTGGTGTTAAAATAGAGAGTATGGCTACTTATAACTAAATCTGGCTAGATATCAGCACTAAGCAAATCCGATTGCAATGCTAAAGCTTGAGCAGAATGCGTTATTCTGAAAGATAAAAAATCACGTTGTTACAAATTACTTTCAGGCGACAACTTTACATTTTAGAACAGGAAATTGATGCAGGAAAGGAGTTTTTGAGATGACGCTATGCTGTGTTAATTTTCAGAAATGTTGCGAAAGGTAGAACTTTCTTTGGTCGGATCTTTCTCTTTGCACCACAGAGGGCTATTTCTGTTTTTTTGGGGGGGCAGAACTACAATTAATTTAATTAATTTACAAAACCAAAAAAATTTAAATTGATCAAATCTGAACTGGCAATATTTTATCTGAAGACATTTGTGAAAAGAATAATTAGATTTGGCAATAAGACCAAATTAGAGGTTACAAATTCTAGATTTGGGAAAAATGTTTATGCTGATTTTGAACCAAAGAAATGGGGATTCTCACTTCCACAAAAGATTTTAAATCTTGTGACATGAATATCCTCTGTTCTCACTCGTCATCTGTGTCACTACATTTGTTTCTAAAAACAGAGGCTTTGTCCGAATGTCTTCCCTAACCCCTAAATCCCTCAATCACTATATAGAGCAGGGACTATAAAGTGGACTTCATAGGGAACTCTGTTAAGTGAGTATTTGGACAGATGATCACTACTTTTCATTCTCGTTGGTCAGGATAATCCACCTCCCTGTACACTACACTTGGCATCTTTGTTATTGTTACTGTTGACGAGTAGCTATAGCCTAGGGCGACAGCAGGCCGTTGTGACAATAAATCCCATAATGCTTTGCGAGGGGAGCTTTCCTCGCACAGCATTCCACTATTCATCTAGTGGCCATCGATGATCACGACTTTTCAAGGTGCATTGTGGGAATTTTCGAGTGCACTACTTTTTCATCCACTAGATGTTCTGACACTCGTTTAAAATGACATAACCACTATATAGGGCCCTATACTATAGGGCCCTATATAGTGATTATGGATGACATTCGGACACAGTCAGAGAAAAATTTTCATAAGAGCAAGAAACATTGGTTGAACAATTACTAGTGAAACATAAAATATGTTTCTTTTTTTAGGTGGATCTCAAATCTGCTGTTTTCTTTAGCTTCTACTACTTCCACGGCTTTGTTGTTAAACTGTTTTTGGTCCATTACTTTACACCTTCTGTTTTTTGCCATCAAGTTTTCTGAAATGTATTTTTTTTCAATTACTCCTAAAACATTTATTATTTATTTTTTTGGTCTAACATGTACATGAAGGCTTTATAAGACTAAATAAGTGAGTAAAATGTTTTGCAAAGTTGTCAATGATTGCTATCCCACTTTTTGACATCAGATACATTTCTGACTAATTCAGTTAACACAAGCTAAACTGATATGAGGGAGTGTTGGTCCTAAGTTCCCAAGATAAGTAAATGGAAGGTGTTAATGTTTAAAAACGAACATTAAAAAAAGAGGTAACTGTTCACCATCAAGTACCCTACACATCTGAAGAACCCCCGTGCATGTGGACACACACTGTAAACAAATGTCCAGGTATTGGAATCATGCATTTGTAACGTAAACAGACAGACTTGTTTAACTGCAAGTTCAATACTAAACACACCTGATCACAGTAGAAACAATTGTTTTCTAGATAATGAATTACTTCAAGTAACACTACGTTCCCCATTTCACCGTTAAGATGCAATGAATGGAAAGCAATAACATGCAACACAAAAATCAGATATTTGTGGTGTAAATCTGTACAAATGATGGCTTATTGGGTTAAGTAATAAGTAAGTAAGGCCTTGTATGATGACAGCACAGGTAGGAAACAAATTTTATAGAAACTCCTAATAAAGAAACCATGCAAATAGGTGAAACATTCCAGTTTTAGATAAGAATAAACATACAGACACTCGTATAGGTCTATAGTCATTAAAATGCACAGATCTAATAAAAATGTTCACGTTTTAACCCCATAAGGCGAAACTAAAAATCTCAAAGTTCAGAGCTTGTTTACACAGGAACTTTTCCTTCCCTTTCAGGCTTGGCCTTTCTTAGCTAAAACTTACTGATATACAGTAGTAAATAGCAAGTTTTTACTCACCGTTTGATTGTCAGTTTAGTTACTCTTGTGTGACGTACAGTAAATATGGCTCAGAGTTTTTTTTTTCTTTTAATTCCTGCTTCATTTGACCTTTTAGGAGCAGTTTCAACTTGGTTACACACTGTTAATCGAATGCAAATCTTTGTTCACATTACAAAAACAAAACAAAAACAAAGGCTAACAATGATTCTAAAAAGTTTGGGGTGAATTAGATTTCCATGCTTTCTCGAATATTTTCTTCACTGTATCATGCATATATTTATAAAACACTAATGCTATATTGTATGCTGTTTTTTTTTTTTTTTTTTTTTACTATGCTGTAGCAATAGCTGGATATAAACCATGAAGTGTCTTGCAAAAGTCTTAATACTAACAACAAGATTCAGTCCGTTAAATGGGACTTAATGCAATAGAGCAAAATAACTGAGTGCCTAATCTTGCTGTTTAAAAAGTAATAGATGGCTTTGAAAGGATTTTTTTAAAGAACATGTAAAATGCATTTTGATTCAGCCCCTCAATATTTTAATACTTAGGCCATTTCTCAATTTACAAGAACACGAGTATGGACTCGCAAAGTATGTTCTTGACAAGAACACAGGAAAGTCTAGACTCGTGGAGAATGGGAGAATGCAGTATAAATATTTGTCAACTGGAACAGAAGCAGACTCGTGCCCTTACCACACACTCGGCTCGTCTGGAGCTGCATTTCACCTCCTGTTATTCAGTCTATAAATAATAATACTTTTTTTCATTTAGTGGGAGAATAATAGTTAACACAGTCAGATAAACACAAATCAAATTAAAATTTTGCCAAATAAAACAAAAAAAAAAAAATCTAGCAGACATCAGAGCCAGTGGTACTTTATACACGGCTATGCCGAGAAAGGGCTGCTGCAGACGGGCTAAAATTAGCCCTGGCTGCGGTTACCCTCTGATTTTGCCGCGATCCTCTCAATATAGGACCTTTTTTTTTTTAAATTAAGCACTAAATCAGTAAATGGCTCATATAACGCTGCTTAAAAGTATAATGTTCTCGCCTGAAATGATTTTAAAACATACCTTTGTAAAGCAATGGTAAAAAGAGAACTTTTAACTTAATACTCTGAGCTTTATGAGAACTCCACTGAAAGCTGCTGCCGCCGCGGTGCATGCTGGGACAGCTTTCGGTCTGGGGAATGGAAAACTTCGCTCTGATGCATGCTGGGTAAAGAGCGAGGGGCGAGAGCAACATCCGGGGCCTTTTCTGTTCACGGTCTTCTGTTCTTGTGAATTGGGAGAGTAGTAGGGCTGAGGCTGATTCATTTCACGAGCACATGAGAACGCACAAGTACACATATTGAGACACGGCCATAGTTTTTGCGCATCTAAAAATTGACCTTCCTGCCAATTCTTTGCAGAATAGCTCAGCTTCAGTGAGATATTGTGAAGAACATCTGTGTAAATCCACCAACATTAATTATTCTTGTCCCTCTGACACAAATAAAGGCCAATTTTCCCCTTTGGCATATTTTTAATTGCTAAACTTCTTTAGCATTTTTTAGCTGTTGTTTTCCTCTCCCATTGGCTGAGGATCTTTGCTGCCCCTCCTCCTTTTACCTGGCCTGCTTATTTGGAATGCAAGGTATTTGATTATCTTTAAGATGCTGACAGCAAAGGGAGCTATACACAATGCCATACATTTTTTGTAAAAAAAATCATGAAATTGTAATTTCCCTCATATCACTATGCATTAATTGGGTGCATGGGAACAGCTAAACTCTGAATAAAACACATCTGAAACTTGTTGCTGTAACCTCACAAAATAGTTTTGATGCTTTTGCAAGACACTTTGCTTTCATCCTTCCAGACTGCTACAGTTCATGCAGTTATGGTTTACTGCAAAATTTGAAACGATAAGCAACAAATCCGTACTTGAGGCATTATTATTGACAGCCTGGGTTTTGGTGTGTGTACTGTGGAGTCCTCTGTCATGAGTATGTCTGTGTGTGAGTCCATGTTTCCATGCTTGGAGCTGAAATCAAGCCTGCTCGGCAGCAGCGGTGGTGGGAGCACTTGCTGGGAACTCTGGGTTGATATAGGAGAATCCCTGGAACTCGTCCTGGTCCAAGTTCTGAATCACCTCCTCATCAGGGGGGGTCAGCACCGGCGGGTGGCGAGTGAAAAAGCGGTCAAAGTTCTCGGCCTCCCGTCCACACTGTCAAGGAGGGCGGGGGAGAGGGGGATGGATTGGGAAGAGGAAGAGCGGGGGGATGGACAGGAATGGATGGAGCAGGTGAGGGTAGAAAGAGAGGAAAAACAAAAGAAAAAAGGAATGGAACCACGGTGTGAGATGACATCACTTGGAAATGGTTTCAAATATCAGAACAAGCAAAGTCACTGTGGTGCACTTTGATTTTAAGCACACCTCATTTTGCTTTCCTTTTTCAAATATTTGAGGCGCATCGTCAAATTTCAAACAGAAAAAGCCTCAAACATCCTGGAGCAATGCACTGCAATGAACCAGCAACCATGCATGTGTAGTGTCTAAATTTATTTGATCATTGTTGGAGCTAGAATTGCTGGGACTTTCTAGGCAAAAGCCTCAGAGCTATAAGATAATTATAAGAGGAATTGTGGGTTAATTGTAGGTTAATTAGATGTTGAAAACCAAATCAACCATCAGCTCAGATGGAAAAAGAGCACTTTGAATAACCTTACATTATTTGACTATATAACTCCTAAAAATAAAATGCATATGTAACTGAAAAGGTTATCGCTAATTTTCTTTTTTTTTTTTTTTTTTAAAAACAGTTTTTGGCAAATAAATCTTTTTTGACAGCTGCAAACAAAAATGTAGTTTGCTCCTAAGATGGGCGTCCTTAACAAGCTGCTGACTCTGAAACATAGTTTTCCCATGAAAAGGTTTCAGAGGGACTTCCTCCCATCTCCTTACACTGAGCTTTAATTAACACACCACTGATGCTGCATTCTCTGACAACATCACCCTGAGGAAAACTATAAAGTTATTAAAAACATCAGACTCCCGTAAACAGATGAAACTAAACCCGGATTCTTAGAGATTTGGGGAAATGGACAAAAGAAAATTTGTAAAAGTATTTGACCTTTGGCTCTAACTTAAAAAAAAATAAAATATACCGGATACATTTTGGACAACTTAACAACCCAGGTAGAAAGCTATTCTTACAAAATTCATTTTTCATCAGAATTTCTACAGTTTCTTCCAATGTGAATCTGTCCGAGTTTTTTTCCAGCTATGTGGAGAATAGAATAATAAAGAGCTTTCTGTCCCCCACCTGTTGCTGAACACTGCCAGTCAGGGGGCTGAAAAATAACTGCTAAACTTTCCAATGTCTAAATGCAAAGACAAATTCACACTTGTTTATAGTGCCTTTCCGTTTGTTGAGATAACATGGTTCTCAAACTAGTTTTTAAGCTCCAAGGAGTGGAGAAAATAGCCCAACATAATACTAGGTAAATATCCAATAATTTTGCTGAACTAGCATTTAAAAATGTATTTTCATTTTAAGAGAATTACTTTAGTTTTAACTCTATTTTAACAATCGTGTAACTTTCAGAAAGCATTAAAATGTCAACAAATATTAAACTTAGTGCAACTAAAAATAATCATGATAAAGTACTTTAGTAGAAGCATGAATAACTTCTGCAGCCCTGCTATAAATAAAAGATCATGATTCATGATCATGATTATTGTATTTTGTGTAAGTACATTATGATAGAAACATTTAAAATACCTTGATGTCACTTTGTACCTTAAACTGCTCCAAGCCTATATGAGACGGGATTTCGTAATAGTAAATAAAATTAGAAATTTAAAAAAGCAAGTTTAGGTTGGAAGAGTTCATAAGAGTTATAAAAATTGGAGCTGAAACAATTTATTGATTAATCTTGATTAATCGATTATTGAAACAATTGTCAACTGATTTATTAATGGATCAAATGTTAACTGGAGTATAGAGCCTGTAAAACATGCATTTAGCTGACAGAGCAACCTACTTAGAGCAGTAATTATACTAAAATTGTAAAATTATCTGTCAGTATGCTCCATCCAGACCTCCTCAAGAGGAAAACTTTTAGTTTCACCTGGTATCATTTTGTAAAAAGTCTTCTTTAAGGAGCCTTTTACTATCCGATTATTAATCTAAAAAATAATCGGCAGATTAATTCATTTACAAAATAGTCGTTAGTCGCAGCCCTAATAAAAAGGTGGCAGGTTTGATGGTTTGGTAAAAGAGTTGTCATTTAAACAGACAAGTGTCTGATTCGATTCAATACATCTGATCAGATGTTTGTGAAAAAAGAATTAAAATATGGTTTCAGGTGACTTATGTCACACTTTCTTTGTAGTGCACTCCATGACAGGTATCATTTGAGACTGAACCCCAGAGCATGCAAGTAAAACATAAACACTTAGAAAACTCTGAACACTGAGAGGACAAATAAAATGTGCTGATGAGATGAGATAAGATGTAGGCATGGTGGGTGTGAACAGATGGAGAGGCAGTGGAGGAGAAAGGAACTGACAATAGATGGCAGAGAGGACAGATGAATGAAAACGGTCTCACAGCGATAACTTCAAATGAAATTGAATATGAATATGTTTGTGTCTTGGGTAAATGCATAATCCCGCCGTTCAAGCTGGTCTGTTTCTTCAGACATTCAAAAGTTAAGGCGGCTCCGCATCAAGCAGATTCTCCAAAGGCATTGGTTGCATTTTGAAACCAGAAATGATTTGATCAGCATAAATAATCACAAATAAACAACATGATAGGGCAGAGCGTTGATACTTTTAGTGACTTTGTCAAAAATAAAACAAATAAAAAACAAACTCCCTTCACTGAAATAGGCCACCTTAAACGATCAAAGAACCAGCTTCAGATACTAAACCTCTGCCAGAAAATACTAAAGCTGTCTGTTCTTATAAATAGAAATGATAAAAGGAAAGGAGGAATAGGAGTCAGGGCAGAGGCCCGAGAGATGATGGGCATCTGAAAGACCAGATCAAACTGAAAGAAGAGACAGATACAGAGAGCGAAGAGATCAGACAGCTTCTGTCTGCACTCACACTAGATGTATATACTCTAGATTTGCCAGTGTTGCAACAGCCAGGTCCTCATGATGACCTCTACTTTAAAGAAACCTCACATGCACAAAGTTGCATGCTTATATGCAGCCGCATTAATGATCAAGCACACAGTCCACCGACCCCCCCAAAAATAACAACAACCCTGCAGGCAGAAAAAGATGCATAAAAAGCTCAACACAGGGAAATAAAAAAAAAGAAACTCTCAAGCAGCAGGATAGCCCAAGGCTATGAGAGCGTCCATATGTATTTGTGTGTGTGTGAGAATTAGGTGACATCATTCTGATTACAGCTATGATCAAACCCAGCTTGTCAGAGAAAGGAAAAAAAAAGAATAAAAAGAAACTGAGTTATTTTCAAGACCTGCAGAAATTTTAAGGACGTGCACCTACTCCCTGGAGGTTCATACCAAAGCGGAAAACAAACCCCTCCCTCTGAGCTCATGCAGAGCACATCTGCACCAAACTGCAAAGCACCCATTTTGTGCATGCACAGAGATGCATCCGGTATGTTATCTTCACAATCATCATTAAACCTAAAGCTATAACCATCACCGTCACATATCCTTCAGCATCAACATCTTTAGGTTTTGACTTACCTGGGAACAACATGGAAAGATATACAGTGTTATATAATGATGTTATTTACAGGTACAGATGTGTAGATTGTAGAATGACAAGGAGAGACCCAGCATAGAGCGGGTTGGCTGTCATAGCAGTTACCCTCCTGCTCTCTGCTCTTTTGCCTGTCTGTCAATTGCACTTGTGTTTGATCTGCAGGTCAGACTTACAGCTCTGGGTTTGAATGGGGGTTGGACTTCCTTGTTCTCCAGTTTTTCCCAGTCCATGTAGCGGAAGAAGCTGTGCTCCCTGATATCCCTCTCCCCCTCTGGACCACAGCCCAGTCGTTTGGCTGGATGCTTCGTCATCAGCTGCACAGAAAATGAAAGAAGAGAGACACATTAGCTGCATGAAGCTCCACTTCCCCCACCCATATTCTTCATTTCTCCGGCCTAATGGATCAGTGACTTTTTCTATTGACTTTAGCTCTGTTTTCACATCTTTATTGTCTGCATGCAACCAGAATCTTGTTCACTCTCACGTGCATTGTTCCTTCACTATCTCCTTTTAGGGAATGAATTATTTATGACTGTAACTAATCTGCAGTTATTCATGTTGTACAATGAACATGTCTGTCATCAGGGGTACTGCCTAATTTCACAGTCCTATTCGTGCTTCAGCTGCTACACGAACACTGCTAACATCTATGTTAATGTCAGAGTGAATAAAGATGCACAACAGTGTAATCCTGGTTCATTACATAACCAGCACGCAAAAAACATATAAAAAAAAAATAATTTTAACTTCTAACATATGAGAGCTCCTTCAACTGTGTATTACAGGTTTTGCAGAGAGAAAATGATAGCCAATTATTTCTTTAAACCATTAGGCCTAATCTATCTATGATCAAGTATAACTTTGCAGTGTTGCTTTTTATTTATTATTTACAAGCGTATTTAAAGAAAAAAGGCAGAAATGGGTCATAGCCATAAATGGGTCCCCTTAAGCGTGTCAGCATAGATTGTTGAACGGAAGATAAGACTCAAGCAAACACATAGTGGTTAATTGTGTAAACAGGATGTCTGAACCATATAAACAGCATCTATTTTTTATTACCACTGACTCTCATGCCCATTGTATTTCTAACTGAAAGCCTATCTGGTACTTCTTCTGCCCTTCTTTTAATTCTTTTGATGGTTCCTCCAGGCTTTGCTTGTATTTAGCTCCATCCATCTTCCTATCAACTCTGACCAACTTTTTCATCCATGCTGTAGAAAAGCATGAATGGTGCTGCCTCCATCAAAGTGTTATTTTTTTAATGTTTTTATTTTTTAATACCACAAGAGTTCAGGTCTCATCGTAACATTTGGCCAACTGGTTCTAATGAGGTTTATTCACATAATGTTTTGCAAAAAAAAAAAAAACGTAAATTTATTATTTACTTATCTACTAGTTTGGTGACCTCTGAATGCAGTTGGTTGTAACACATTTCATTAAGAAGTATCAGAGTAGAGTCTATGTATGCAATTTTTATCTGATCTGGAACTGTTCGTTTCTACAGCCCTTTTAAATGCAGATTTACTGTTTTCCTTCTTTTCAATATAATTTTGTTGGATCTGATTATGCATTCTGTTTATTAAAAATTGCATCAGTTTCTTCGTTTCTGAAATTTTCTCCTCTTTAAAATGCTCTTCTTCTCTTAATATTTTTGCCTTGTGTTCAAAGTCATGTCCTCAATGTGTTTTTAGCCACCTTAATACCTGATATTTCCCACTTATCTTATACAAATTCAAATATCATTTTTAGAATTTTACTTACGATAAATAATTGCTTACATCACTTCATTTCCGCATGTAAATTATGTATTTGGTTGATCTAGCCAACCAAATCTAAGGAAATATGTTGAGAATTTTGGGAAAGAAATGATGAAATAATTCAAAGGTGTGACACTGGAAATAACTGATTTACCTCACATGATATCCAGCTTTTTTTGTTTTGTTTTGTTTTTGGTCAGTTGGGAGACGCAATCATAAATTCTCAGATTACAACAATAATGCAATTTTTTTCAAGAGGTAAGACAATTGCAAGTGAGCATTACAGAAAAATCCATAAGGACACTTGGTCACTTTCCCAGGTTAAAGACAAAAACTGCTTTAAACTTTTATCTTCTATTTTTTTTCTGCAATATATTTATAAATATAAATGTCACATAGTGTTGTGATTTATTTATAATTTATATCTTACTAGAGAAGGCACATGTGGTGTTCAGTTTGTGTCCCGTTGTTTTGGATTTGTAAGGAGGAATGATACACTCACTGATGAAGCCCATGAAGTGAGGACATCATGTTTGTAAAACTACACCAGGTCAAAAATAATAGCTGCTGCATCTCACATGATGCATGTGTACTTAAATAAGTGGCTTTTTGAATTGAAATATGAAGACAAGAAAAAGTTTGAGAGAAAGAGTTGATAAATGATATAATCTTGAATTATATTTCTTTTTATACCATTTGGGTGGTGGCTTTATATAGGCCCATTGGGCTTCTGTCTCATTCATTTCCTCATTTATTTTCCGAATAATTGTTATGTATTTTAATTTGTGTAAAATAAACTAAAAACTAAGAAGGTTAACAACGATGATTGTTGGAAAGAAAAATTATATTTCAATTAAATATACAAAAAATAATTATTATTCGAAATGTTTTCATCTGCAGTCCACAACTGAACACTTTTAGAATTTTAGAAATCTTTATGCTAAGCATTTAAACTTTTATCTTAAACTATCGTTTAATATTAAAAAATATTCTATAAAATATAAACAAATTGATGGGAATTTTTTTTGATATACGGTAATAAAATTTATCATTTTAAATCTAACAGATCTGAAAACTTTTTCCATTAACATAGGACCTGGTTTGTCCTTTATTTAATTCACACATTTTAGGTTTTAAAATGGTTATAGGGGAATAAGACTCAAAGGACCCATTCTGACCCATTTTTAGATCCTTGCTGTGGTTCTTTACTGTCAATCAAATAATTATTTTCCTAATCAGTTATTTTAGTTTAAGATCTACCAAAGGAGACGCAGAAAGCTTCAGAGCTTACATACTTTTTATCACTAAAAAATTCACCTTTATTTGTTACATTTTTTATAGGAAAAAGAATTCAGCATCAAACAGTTAAACATTTATAGCCTTGACTCATCTGCATCGCCTATCTCTAGTTGGGTGGAAAACAAATAAAACAAAATGAAACGAGATCATATCAAACAACGAACTGTTGATCCTTTTTAGAACTGCTTAGGCTTTAGATCGACAAAGGTGCTCCGGACATAAACGTCATACAAAGATTTTTTTTGTGGATTCTAAAACAGAGGCTTAACAATAACAAAAATAAAATAAATGAAAAAAAACCCCAGATGGAAATCAATTTAAGATTTATTTTATAGTTTTCAGAACAAAAAACTAAACACTAGAGTTAGAATCAGCAGATAAGAGAAACTGTTAATGGGAGCTGGCTAAGAAAACTTGTTTCTGCATCTCTGCATTTGTTCTCTGCGTAAACCTGAAAGTCAGCTCTACTTAAATGGAAATTACTAATAGTGTTTAAAAAGCCAGGGCCCTTCCAGTCAGATGCACAGACACTGAATGACTTAACCCCGGCCGCGCTGGAAGGAAGCAGAGGGAACCAGCAGTGGGGTGGGGTGGGGGGGAGACACAGCTGAGTTTTCATGCTCTGCTGAAGATTCCCTGTCGTAGCACTACAACCCTGTAATCATAACTAATACATAACATGCAGCCTGTGTGTGCCTGACTGCATGTGTGTGTCATAGTGAGCATTAAGTTGCTGATGAAGGACTTTCCCTTTAAGTGTGAGTAATATCAGACCAGAACAAACACAGGTAAACATATAACGATGTCAGAGTTAAGCATATAATGAAGTCTGACTTAAATAAAAAAAAAGGTTTTAACCTTTCAAAATAAAAAAAAGACATTTTTAAACAATGACATACACAAAACCCATTTCATGGTTTTCTATTTGTATTTTTTGGTTTTAAAAGCAGTTAGATCCACAATATGAGCAAAACTGCTTTAGCGAGACGAGATGATCACAGTGAAAGGACGGAACAAACGGTACGATATACCATCCATCAGGCTGGAGGTGTGTGCGCGTGTGTGTGTGGTTTTTGCTGCGGTCAGTGAAGCTTAGAGTTAGCAGATGAGACAGAGGTTTAATAGAGAGGGCCGACTCCATTTGTTGTAGTAATCAGCTCCCCCTCCCTCACCCCCCAACACCCACCAGTCCAATACAGCTGGGAGTTGTCAGAGCGTCAGTTGGTAAAACCTGATCTATTTCCAAGGAAACTGAGCAGCCACACATTTAGGCTATCAGACCATAGTAGTGCATGTGTGCACTACTACATTTTCATGTACTCTTATCTCTGCTCATCGCCTTCCTTTCTTTTTTTCACGTAAACGATAGAGCCTCACGTTTTCTCTCTGTGTTTAATAGGGCCGGCTTGTATGCACAAATACTTACTCCTTTACATATGGCGACAGCTTCCTTAGACATCGACTTGGGATAGGAGACGTGATGCTCCATAATGGACTGAAACAGCTCATCCTCATCCTCACCATCGAACGGGGGCTGAAGAGAGAAGGAGAAGTTGTGGGAGGAGAAGGGACAGTATGACTTGATAAAGATAGGAGTTATGAATAGCGCCTGATAAGCCGACAGCCATATTTAAGATGTAAACATTTTGTATTTAAAGTTGCCAAATCTACTTCAAATGGCATTGATTTAGCAGAGAAAAATCCCATGACCATAATTTATGTATTTAAAACAAAATCACTAGTGTGATAATTATTGTCCCTTTTTGCAGTAGATTATAGAAGGTAGCTTGTTGCCGTCCTATAACATTTCAGAAGCAGGGAGCAAGCAAAGAGAGGGATCTATAATTACTAATCTAATACAATTCTTTAGGATTCAGTTTGAGGACAGGGATGGAAGAAGAAGATTCTTTATGTGGGATTTTTTTAATATTCTGAACAAACAGGTTCAGATTAATGGCTTGGTTTTTCTATACTTAATGTTAAGTTTTGTATCTTTTAATTTGAGCTTTATACATACTAGGGCTGCAACTAGCTAATATTTGGCAAATTGTTTAATCCATTGATTATTTTTTCGACTAACTGATTAATCGCCTAAGCGGATAGCAAAAGGTTTCTTAAAAAATAAATTCTGCACATAGCATATTGAAAGACAACTTTTTTTTTACTTAAATATAAAATGTTTCCATGTTTTTTTTTTGGTGACAATTTTAGTATAATTGCTGCTTACGGTGGGTTACTCTGTCAGCTAGAGGCATGTTTTAGCGTCTCTACACTCCAGTTAATGATTAATTAATTACTAAATTAGTTGACGATTATTCAAATAATCGATTAATCACAATTAAATTGATTAATTGTTTCAGTCCTAATACATGCACACATAGAACAATGTTAGAATGATGACCTACATGATGTTAGAACTGTAAATATACAGTGATATGTTTATATTACTATTTTTGTATGTATTTATTACTGTTTTCAAGGCTGCACTTTAAAAAATGAAATTGTCTAGAGCTGTTTTAACCAAAATTCTTTTTGTTTACAAAAATCTAATCTAATCTAGAACAAGTAATAATGCTAAGGGATTTAGTTTTAAGATTTTCTTAATAATCAGTTATTAAGAGACTTTATAGTATATATAAATATTCGTATGGATACTACCTTCTGTTTTATTTGATCTAATGCATTATTTTCAGTTAACACCAACACACTGGTTTCATAAAGCTGCAGACCAACCTGTCCAGCCAACATTTCATAAAGCAATACTCCGAAGGCCCACCAGTCCACAGATTTTCCATAAGGTTGATAGGCAATAATCTAAAATGTAACATGAACAGTTGTAAAAAATTAACATTTTATAACACAATAACTCCATATTTTAAAATGTAAGCTTTCTCTACGTCTACTGACCAAACTGTGTGATTAGCAGCAATCATGCAAGCAGCACAGAGAGACAGAATACCTCAGGAGCGATGTAGTCTGGGGTTCCACAGAAGGTCTTGGTTGTGACTCCGTCAAGCATGTTTTCTTTGCACATACCAAAGTCTGCGATCTTAATGTGGCCCTCACAGTCCAGCATTACGTTATCCAGCTTCAGGTCCCTGCAGAGGTAAAGGCTCTTTAAAGGTAATTATCAACCTACAATTTGAACGGTACATTTAGCCTTCCAGCTGTTCAGGTCTGAAAAGCTCAAAAGTCTGAAATCTTTTAAGTAGGTTTTAATCTAAAATATAAAGATAAACATAATCCAATGAGTGTTGTATATATTATAGAAGACACCATCCTCCAACCTGTATCTGATATTTTAGACCTTGCTGGTCATCTAAACGGGGACAGAGAGATGCTTACAAATACATGTCTCATGTTGTTTTAATTCAATCAATAGGTCAAATATTGACATATTAACTCCAGTTTAGTACCTTTACATAAATATTTCCCCCAAATGTTTAGATGTATGTAATTTTATTAAATAAAAAAATTCCCTTGGGCTTTTTTTTTTTTTTTTTTTAGGTAATTTTAACACAAAACTTTAAAATAAATCTTAAATGATGCATATTTATATCACAGAAACTTGAACCTTTGGAGGTTGAAAGAAAATGGGCAAACTCACAACAGCCGGTAACAACCTATAACCCCCCCTCCACTTTCTAATGTAAAGCACGGTGGGGAAAGTGCCATGACAGCTGCTTATCAAGGTGAACAATGCCGAGGCACTATTCTAGGGGTAACCAATTAAAAATCAGCAGGGTCAGAATAAAGAAAATCATCAACCAGTAAAGGTCCGGAGACATTTATAATTACAGTATGATCTGTTACTTTATACAGAATTAAACACTGAAATAAAATGAGCTTTTTATGCATCCATGTTATGCATTGAATTTTTAAATTAAAAAAAAGAAAAAGATAAAAAAAAATTCTATTTTAAAATATAAAGTTTTTTTTGAAGTAGAAAATATCAATCATTCACTTTAGCATATAGACAATTTCCTGATTCACATATTTTATAAAACACCTGAACTGAACTTTTTAAAAAAATGTTTTATGTCTTAATGAGAGAAGCAGGCTTTATGCTGCCCTGCAAGGCTTTAAACCTGGGTTTGAATGGAGACAAAGCCATTCTCAAGCACATATCAAGGTGCTCATTTTGAGCCTGGATCCATATTTATTTTTGATTATCTTCATGGTGGAGAATCCTGCTTCACAGCAGCAGGTTGAGCCAAACATACTCAAAATGTGCAGGGTCATCTATGAGCACACCTTTTCACTTTTCTTTCACTAGTTCGCACTTTCCACACTTTCTTTCACTTTCTTTCACTTTTTCCTCATCATCTTCTCCTTCTTTCCAATTGCCCAGCTTGCCACAGGTTTGCGGTAATTTATAAATGTTTTAAATCAGGTTGGGTCCGGATTAGCCAGCAGGTGGGTCCGGATCCGGACCGCTAATCCGTGACCTCTGCACTACGCCATTTAAAGAGGCGCATTTTAAAAACAGAATCGGCTTAAAGCTACAGGCTGATTTAATAATTAGTTGAGGTCTTTCAGTTTTTTTCCAAGCAGATCAAGCAGGAATCCAGCATCGGATATGTGCTTTCCATGTATTCATTAAGAAGTTTTATATGAAGCAGGTGAACGTCATACACACGCTTGCATGAATGAAACAAGCTAATTCTTTTACCTTACTTTAACTTGAAGTCACAGGGACATTATGGGGCTGAACGTCTGTTATTTCTTAGTATAATTTGTTTTATTTGGTACACTTGTGATTTAGTCAAGGAGTTTCTACATATGTTACCTGTAGATGATGCCCTTTTGATGTAGGAAAAATAAACCGATGGCTATCTCAGCAGCGTAGAACCTACAAAAAAAACACAAAGGACAAGAGAAACAACAGCGCCAATTACAGTGGGGCTAAGAGACAGTGGGTAAACAGGGAGGGTTCATTTGAGTGTTTACGTGTGTGCCTGTATAAAGGTCGGAGCTGTCTCTTTAATGCCAAAAAACTGCTGATAAGATCAACAGAAGGGGCTTGGATAGACTGACCACGCAGGCAGACATGTTTGGATGGTAATACACGTCCAGGGCTTGTTTGAAATGTGCGCATAAGAAGTGTCAGAAGACAATCTGAAGGTGTGAAGGTAAGTTAAAAGAAGCAGTCTGTTTAATGCCCGTTTATTTCAATCTGAGACATCATGCTTTTTAGTTAGACCCAAAAGGCTGAAAGATAAAGTAGGAATGTAGAATGCATTATCATAAAAGATAAAATTAACTACCACTTAATAAATACAATAAAAGCAATATTAGACTCTGGCTTTAGAAATTTTTTTTTTTTTACATCATATCATACTCTCAAAATGGAAAAGGAAGCCCTTCTAATATGAAGTTCAAAATTTTGGCCATCTGTTATAGATTTTTTACTAATCTTTTTGTACAATTTTTTAAACTTCACCCTTTTTTATGTATAACTGTATTTAATTTGAGGAAATGACAAAAATAGTAAAATATCACATGATCAAATAACAATAAATAATAATTTAAAACCTTTTTTTTGACTTCTCTTTAATTAACCACAATATCTAAAAATTAGGGGCTTGGGTTTGATTAAAGGTACAATGAAAGCGAAATATAACAGAAATGAACATAAGTTTGCTTGAAAGGAAAAAAAACAGACACATTTTTCATCTTTTCAAAAACTCATAGAGGAAACTAGTCTGGTTAGTGAGCCAATTAAATCTGACTTTGAGACAATTAAGGAAAATCAACTGTTTTACAAACAGTTTAATTAAATGAATAAAGCACTCTGAATCACAGCAGCAATGTTTATCAATCAGACGCATCTGTGGAATCTGTAAGAACTAGAGATACGATGATGACAGCTTAACAAGCCAAATGTTTTCTAAAAAGAAGCATGTAATTTGACTAACAAACAGTGTCCTTCATTCTTGCAGAGCCGATGCGCTGCCCAGAAAAAAAAACAGACTTAATGATCACAGACAATGTGTACTTGTATCACACCTAGTTCTTGCAGAAACAGCTTATGAGACTCATTAACAATCAAGCTGCTCACCGTCTTTACTGAGGAAAAAAAAAACAGCATAGCTGAGCTGTGGCACATCTATAACATCTGCTGAGGATCTAGATTTGACATTGATCACAGAACTGAGGTGCATTCCTGTGTACTCACACAGCATGGGGCTCTTTGAACTTTCCAACCTGCTGTATCTGATACATGAGGTCTCCACCATTTATGTACTCCATGACAAAATACAAACGGTCCTAAAGAGAGAAATAAAAGGGTCAGAAGAGCATCAGTCAATTATTTATTCCATCAGTTATTTTTTTATATCATATACCATTTACAGTAATATAAAGGAGTAGCAGAGAGAACTCAGATGTAAAAGGAATGTGAAATGGATGAATTATGTTAAAAGCTTTGCTTTGAAAAGCTAAGCTTTAAAATTTAACTCAAAAACCATAAATGATCCACCATTAATAAAAGCATGGATCAAGTTTTCTCCCACAGTTTGGAGTGAAATAACCATAGACTTTTCAGTAGTATTGCACAAATAATGTATAATAGTAAATTTAGGTTATGAAATGAAAACAAGCATCCTCTTTGGCTGTCAAGTTCTTAGAGTGTGTCCAGAATGAGGACTTATATTTATGTTTTGTTTTGGTTTATGATGAAAAAATCACTCTGCTATCATTGTCCTGATATCTAAGAGACAATGAAATTTTTTTTAAGGTCTTTTGTTATCAAGAGTCATTGCAGCATAAGCCGTTTCTTTCTATGATAAAAGGTATAGAGGACAATATTTTTTCCCAGATGGATCATCTAAATAAATGGTTCTCTAAACTATCAGTCATTCTGGTGATGTTTACGTAAGGCCGTTCCATGTTCTTGTTAGCTATCTTTTTCCGTGCATCTGCACGTTAAGGCCTATATGTGTGGTGAGCTACAGTTTCAGACAGTCATTGAAGCTCACCTTTCTCACCCAGGTTCTTTGACAATGGCCGACGGTCATAAGAGAAAAAGTGTTTACAACAGATTGTTGACATAAGGAGCATGGAGCAACACAGGAAAGGATCAGTGATACAGGGAGGAAGGAGGAAGGGCACAGAGGGAAAGAGGTGACTGTCTTAAATGCATCCAATCAGTCCTGAAGTGAGATCAATTTAAGAACATATTGTCTTCTATTATCTACAGAATTGCCAATATGGTTCTGTATTTCAGAAAGTCAGGCAGGAATCTGGTAGGAGCCTGCATGTGTGTGTGTTTTTATTACATGGTGGGGACCAATTCCATAAATCGTAGCACATTGTGGGGACTGAGTGTTCTAGTGGGGACCAATGTCTTGTCCCCATGGGTACAAATGCTATTTTACACTTAGGTGTTAGGTTTACGGCTATGGTGTGAATAGAGTTTAGGTTAGGATTAGGGTTAGGTATGAACCTGTAATTGTTAGGGTTAGGGTAAGGGTCACCGTAAGGCTGTAGAAATGTTTTAGAAATGAATGGATGTCAAATGAAAGTGCCCACGAGGATAAGGAAACATAAATTGTGTGTGAGTGCACATATTTTGAACTAAATACAGAAAAGGTTGTGTGTGTGTAAAGGTCTGTACTCTATGATAAGCCTCATAAACGGGCTGAGAGCAAAAAATTAGGCTTGTGTGTCTTTGACTAAAACTTCCTTGCACATGTGCACAAGTCATGTACAGCAACTACATATGAATGTATGTACTTTATAATTGCTGATGTGTGATAATTGAGGTAATTTTATTGCCAGTGTCCTGCAGATAATTACTATTTAACTGGATTAGCATATTTACTTTAGTTATGTGTGTGTGAGTCTGTAGATTAGGTCAGCTGATTTTTTTCCATTTCTTTAAATTAAGTGACACCAAATCATTAATAACTACCTGTATTTTTTTTTTATGTGAAACTAAAAGACATGCACTAAAGGATGCACATGAAACCAGCAAGCTCTGTTGACTCATCTTTAGTGTAATATGGGCTATGAATCATAAGTTGAACCCGAATTGAACATGAATTCAGGCTGTGTATTCCAGCTGGGAGCTGGTGACGGCAGGAGAGGTAGCTGCAGTAAAGACCAGAGCTTTTTCTGTGAACCCTGCAGCAGCATGCTGCTCTTACAATTGTTCCCATGAAACCTGAATATGCAGCGACCAACAAAGGTAGCTCAGTTTCATCCAGCCAGTTTCTCATCAGTACATGCTCCACATGTATGAATCTGTAGATTTTTCATTCCACACTAAAGTCCTTGATGTTCCGTTTGCTTCAATTCTATAAAAGGATGACAATTTGAAGTTTGATTTTAAAGGTTTGAGCCAGACAATAAAATTGTTCATGTTTTTTTTTTAAATGTTGACTATTTGCATGTTCTTCTTCTGTTTTGTGTTGGTTGGCAAGCAATTTCCGGAGGGGCATAACCGCCAACTACTGGAATGGAGTGTGAATCGGGATGTACAGCAAGACGGAGATGATGCGTTCTGCTCATGCGCTCTTGTTATCAGAGAACTGAGCCAGGGAAAAACCGAGCTGAGCCCACCTCTGGAACTGATCTGCAGCTAACGCGGTCTGGTTGTGTCTAGCTCGGTTCAGTTCAGTTTGCTTTCCATTTATACACGATAAGTTATCTTACCGTAGTTACTGAGCTCGGACCGGTCTCGGTACGGTTTTTCAAGGTTAGTGTAAACGGGGTAATAGAAAAAGTTGGACCAGAAAGACTTTAACTGCAAGCTCACTAGAAAAACATATAAAAAAAAGTGCATCAGACCACAAAAGGAAGTTAACCCACAAGTCAGGAGGGACTAGAGAATTTTTGAGCATTAAGCCTGGAATACACTGTATGATTTTTTTCGATTCTCCAGTCATGCAGGAATTTTTTGATCGGGCCGACTTTCAGCCTGATCGTGCGTTGTTTAGTGTAACGAGGGGCGATCAGCCTCTCACGACCACCTCCAGATCAGTAATCGTGAGCTCGGGAGAAAATCAAACATGTTTGAAATTCAGTCTGCCGTCATAAGATCCAGTCAGAGTGTTGGGCCGCACAGTGTGAGAATATTGAGAGCACATTGTGAGCTGTGAACTTTTAAACCCTGCAGTGTCGTCGTCTAGTTTGAGCTGTAGCTGCGTGCAATGATTGAAAAATATCGCACAGTGTACGCCCGGCTTTAGCCAACCAACCCACCATGGTCTGGAAGGTGGAGTGCAGCTGTGTTAAAAAAGGAGGCTTTCCGCTCAAAGCCAACACCCTCTTCTCCACCATGGTGCACTCAACGTCATCGTCTTGGATAACCACATCCTTTTTCAGGATCTTTATGGCATACAACTCCTCTGTTCCTTTACGCTCTGCCAGCATCACCTTGAGAGAAGGAGGAGAGAAACAAAGCCAGATAGGGTGTCAATACATTCTTATATGGTTACAGCAATAAAGCATAGCGCAGGGCTTTAGCTGCTTTAATGTCATGGAAGACAAAAAGGCTGAATGAGGATTTTCAACATTGTAGTAACAGGACAAAGGGTCTGACGCTTCATTGTGCCATCTGTTTCCTTTTCCTGCCACAGTGTTTGGGTGTCTAAGCTTACAATACCCATTTTGTACCTGGTTGGACCTGGAACACAGTAAATGTAAGTGTGGTGTTAGATCACTCTACGATTTACCATTAGAAGTAAATAGATCTGAAAGAACCAAATCACAAAATCATTCTGAAATTTTGCTTAATTCATTGTTTTATGTCTACCTTAGAAATAATAAATAGCATTTTTTCTTCTGAATACCAGTTAATACAACTCAGGTACCACCAGCGGAGTGTGAACAACAGTTGATGTTTTTCATTAGATTAGTTTGATAAATTATACTAAATTGATTTTAGGATTAATAATGCCCCCAATAGAAGGTTTACTTAAAAGGAGAAAGTTTAAAAAATTAATAGAAACTCTAAAAGAAGTACCCGCAAATATAAGAAAAATCATGTCATCATTCAAAAGTTACCATATTTTAATCATACGTTGGCTTTCAATGTGTTTAAATGTGACACAGCTGTCAATATTTCATGCATAGGGTGTGCGCTTTCTAAGAGAATAAAAATTGGTTTACATGAGCTGTAACAATCTGACAGTCACCAAGATTTAGTGCTTCTCTAAGATCTTTCTGTGGGGATTTTCTTTGCCCTTCAGAACATCTGGGAAGGAAAGCAAGAAGAGAAGAAACATCATACAGTAAAACAATGAGAAACAGAATGAAAGGATTTTGTAACTTCTTTCAGAAACTTCAGTAGGATCAGTTTTAGAGGTGAGCTGAGATCAAGGACAGTTGATGAATGAAAAAGTGGGATTTAAAAGTATGAAGTAGGTCAGAAAAGTCTGGCGTGAGCTGGAGGTGAGGAAAGAAGAGAATAAAAGTGGAGAGGATTATAATGTATTCCGTTACACATACAGACATTTTCCTGTTTTTTGGCTTTGCCTATGATTACCCTTTGGTTAAAAATACAGGAAAAATGTATCACGTTACTTTTTTAATGATTGCCTATCTTTGTTATGACTCATTTAAACTACAAACATGTGTTAAATAAGATAACAACTAAGAAGATGCAATATGTGTCATTGTTTAGTCCAGTTAAAAATGTTCCACCTTTAAATTTTCATGCTCGACACGAATTTTAAGTGATTAAGATTCCAAACATAGAAAATAACAGAGTATTGAATTCCCATATCCTGCGATGGACTAGCGACCTGTCCAGGCTGTACCCCGTCTCTCGCCCGTAGACAGCTAGAGATAGGCACCACCAGCACCCCCACGACCCTGCTTGGGATAAGTGTTACAAAAAATGGATGGATGGATGAGTTCCCATTAGCTACACCCTAATTATATATAATTACAAAAAAAAAAATAGAAACTTGAGATACACCACTCTTGTTGCAAGACAGTCGTGGAATAATCTAGCCACAAAAAATCAGCTCATATTCGACTGCTGTTTTCTAAGGGGTAGCTACTTGTGCAAACTTGATCAGTCTATTAACTGACTAAGACTCATTTGTAAACAAAACATTATCATTTTGTTCATTTTTTGACACCCTTTGTCACATGAATAAAAAAAAAAATATAGTATCAATCTGGTCCACAGATAAAAACAAAGCAAATGTCACACAGACCACTTTCTAACAAAATGGTTGTCGGTTCAAGCCCCTGTCATTTAGATCTTGGGCAAGACACCTTCCGATAGTGTTGGGATGGATCGGTGGACGCCTGTGTACGGCAGCCTCGCTTCTGTCAGTGAGCCCCAGCACAGCTGTGGCTACAGTGTATCTTTCCACCATCAATGTGTCTGTGAATGACTGAGGCCCCGTCCACACGAAGACGAACCCTGGCCTAAATGCACAAATTTTTCACCAAACCAGCCTCTCATCCACACGAAGCCGGCGTTTCGGGGGTCTGTAAACGATCTTTTTTT